AGAAGAGCTTCCAGGACCTTAAATCCAGATTAATTAGTGCCCCTGTGTTGGCGTATGCTGATTTTTCTCTGCCTTTCATTCTAGAGGTGGACGCTAGCCTCAGTGGATTAGGGGCAGTGCTTTCTCAGGAGCAGGATGGAAAAGTGAGGCCGGTAGCATATGCCAGCAGAACCCTGACGCCAGCAGAGCGAAACATGCCCAATTACAGCTCCATGAGGCTTGAGTTTTTGGGCCTAAAATGGGCAATGGCTGAAAAATTTCGGGACTATTTGTTGGGTCAAAAATGTGTTGTATGGACTGATAACAACCCACTTAGCCATTTGAGCACTGCAAAGCTGGGGGCAACAGAACAGCGGTGGGCGGCTCAACTAGCAGCTTTTGACTTCTCCATTAGGTATCGCTCGGGTCGCTCTAATGTTAATGCTGACTCCCTTTCCAGGCAGCCTCACCATGGCAATACACCGCCAGATCTGGGGACATTCCTTCCAGGAACCGCCCTCCCAGAATTCCTGATGAACAAGGTTGACCCTTCAGTACAGGTAACCCAGATGTCAGTGTTTGCCCTTCCGTCTCACACCCCAGATTACCTTGCCACCCTCCAGCATGCAGATCCAGTGTTGAGAAGCTTCCTTCAGTTTTGGCGCTGCAAACACCCCCCAGACAAGAAGGAACGCCAGGCTCTTTCGAAACCAGTAAAGGAACTGGTGCGACAGTGGAATAGGATGGTGGAGAGAGATGGGCTCCTATATCGTCGCATTCACCGTCCGGATGGTGGAGAAGAAATTCATCAGCTGCTGCTGCCAGCCTCCCTGCGGGAGGAGGTGCTTCAACAACTGCATCAGGGTCATGGACATCAAGGAGTGGAGAGAACTACTAATCTGGTAAGGCAGCGGTGCTACTGGCCAGGTCTGTATAAGGATGTCAAGGACTGGTGTCAAAAATGTGAACGATGCACCCTGGCCAAACCCGTATACCCTGCTGTGAGAACACCCATGGGCCATCTGGTAGCTTCCCGACCGAATCAAATTTTAGCCATTGACTTTTCTCTGCTGGAACGTGCTCGCGATGGAAGAGAACAAGTTCTCATTATGACCGATGTCTTCTCCAAATTCACTCAAGCTGTCCCGACCCGTGATCAAAGGGCCTCCACTGTGGCAGGGGTACTGGTCCGGGAATGGTTTTATAGGTTTGGGGTGCCAGCCCGAATACATTCGGATCAAGGCCGGAACTTTGAGAGCTTGTTAATCCAGCAGCTGTGCAGTTTCTATGGCATAAAAAAAACACGCACCACGCCATACCACCCCCAGGGGAATGGCCAATGTGAGAGGTTTAATAGGACCTTACATGGCCTATTACAGGCCCTTCCACCTGTCAAGAAGCCAGATTGGCCCAGCTACCTCCCACATGTTACCTTCTCCTACAACACAACCACCCATCAAACCACTGGTGAGTCACCATACCTTCTAATGTTTGGCCAAGAACCCCAACTTCCTGTTGATTTTCTCCTTGGCAAGATTCAGGAACCAATTGGAGGTACTATCGGTGATTGGTTGCAAGAACACCAAATGCGCCTCCAGACTGCCTTTGATGGGGCCAAGGAAAGGATCCAAGCAGCAGCTCGCCTCAGGAAGGAACGACATGACCAGCATGTGGCTGGTGGCAACCTGACAGAGGGTGAAATGGTCTACTTGAAAGACAACAGTGCTCGAGGCAGAGTGAAGATCCAGGACATTTGGGGTCCCCGGAGGTACAAAGTTGTCAAGACCCCTTCTGATGGTGGAGCAGTGTATTCTATCGCACCCCTGGATGACGCAGGAAAAATCAAGCATGTCCATAGAACTCTCCTGCGACCAATCCCACTAACCACCCCTATAAGTGAGCCAGACTCTGGGGAGCAAGGGAGATCACTTACCAATGAAGGAGATTGCGAACCGAATGGTGAATGGTGGATTGTCCCCCAACCAGTGACAGCTACGCTAGAGCCCTTGGTTTCCTGCCCTCAACCACCTGCACCAGCCGAATCTATTGCTGGCACCATATCCCCAGTGGATGTGGGTAATGATGACCCTATGGAAGGACCCAGTACAGTGCCTCTTCGTCGAAGCCAGCGTGAGACAGCAGGGAGACACCCAAACCCCCATAATCTCCCTGTGCCCGCATGGAGAAGCGGGAGAGAGGCTGCAACTTCTCGGGTAACTGGGTCGGGTAATATGCTCTCTGCCACTCCTAGGCTGTGGAAGTAGTTTTCCTTAAAACCGTGTTTTATATTTTTGTTTGCTTGTTGCTTGTTTTTTATTATCGGCGGGTCGCCGACAGAAAATGGGGGGTAGATTGTGATGGGTAGAGCTCTCCCCTCCCCCCCCCTGCCTGTTTGGCTACACCACCTTAATTGGTGATGCCTAACAGGTGTGACCAGGTGCTCTTTAAATGGGAGCTTTTGCCCCACTAGAGCTAGAGGGGGGCTTGCTGTAGGTCTCCCACGGCATAGGCACAGCACTCGCCACGTGCGGATGGGTTTGAGCGGAATCTAGAGGAAATGATCAGGTGGTGCAACGCTGAGCCTGGTCACTGCTGTTTTTGCCTTTGATTTAAAATAGATTATGGTTACCCGGTTTATATAGTATCTTTGATTATGAATTGCGAATTTGTTTTCTTTCTGGGTTAGTGTCTTTGTTTTGTCCTACATGAACAACCATTACTGCGCCCTATACTGGGGGTCCCTTTAATGCCAGTGCAGGTGGGCATATAGTAGGCCTACAGGGGGTGGCTCACGAGGTGGAAGGCCCTTTCGGTTTATTTTGTTTGTTTGCTGTGTTTTAATTCCTTTTGATTTGCTGTGTTTTCTTCCCTTTGACCTGGTGGTGGCCCCCTTGTCCCCTTTCACTCCCCCGCCCCGGTGGGCCTCAAGTAGTCACCTTATACTGGTAGGGTACCCCAGTATAGTAATCTTTTTTTAAAGCATAGATTATATCTTGCCATAAAACCGACCAATGTTTCTGGATTGATTATTCCTTTTCTTTTAAATATTAAACCTACTTGTAAATAAAAAAAACATTGTTACAAAACTGGAACTTCACCTCTCTGCTCCCCTTTCTTTTTCATTACAACTGATATACTTTGGGTGAGAGCCCCAAAGTGACGTTGTCACCCTTGTGACCAGGCGAACGGCCGCCCCGGTTACATTAAGTTAATGTCAAGTCAAGTCAAGTCATTTTATTTTGTATAGCCCAGAATCGCAAATTACAAATTTGCCTCAGAGGGCTTTACAGTCTGTACACATACAACATCCTCTGCCCCGAAACCCACCATCGGCACAGGAAAAACTCCCCAAAAAATGAAAAAACCCTTACAAGAGGGAAAAAAGGGAAGAAACCTTAGGGAGAACGTCAGAGGAGGGATCCCACTCCCGGGATGGACAGACTACAATGGATGCCATGTGTACAGAATGAACAATGTATAATACATGCAATTCCTATGACAGAAATGATTTAAGTAATTGTGAGTAGTAAGCCAGGCGCACAGCAGGACCACTGCAGGGGCAACCACCATCAGATAGAACCACCATCCACAGAATCCTGTGGGGAGGGAGAGCACAGAGATTTTAGGAGAGGGTAATGTCGGTGTTGTTCAGTAATGTTTGGGTACATATGATGTGTGTAAACAGCCACATCAACAGAACCAGAACTTTTGCCTTTTAGCGTTATGACGAGTCATATACAATGTCTACTGTCAAGTGATAACTGACTGATGCTCACTGGCACATTTACAGTTAATGTCAAGCCTGTGCTAATGAGTCAGTCTGTAATTGAGTCCATATCAGCTCATTTAAACATGTGATATTTGGGATTTTCGGCACTTATTTTGTCAGTTATTTAGTTCTTACTTTTGTGCACAACCTACACCGGAATATCTGATATGACCTTGATCCTAAACATTAATCCTGGATTGTACGAGCTCCTCAACAAGACCCATGAAGAGAAAGGCAAACCACAAGAGAACAAGTGTGTAGTTAAATTTAATATTGTGGTAAAGGAAACAATAATTCTGGTGCAGGGAGCAGCTGAAAAGAACAGGATTTGATCACAAGCTCTTAAAACGGTTCTTTGTGGTCCTGCTTTGTGAAGCGGACAATAAACATAGACTATACTTTCATCCCAGGAAGCATGCAGCTATGCAGACTAAGCTGTGAGAACGTTGCCCTGAGCAAATCCTTCATTACCTCCAAATTCACTGATCCTAACCTGCAAATAAGTACTCAACCCTTCCCTCATTTAAAACGTAAATGCACCCTGTAAAACAACATTACTATTGTAATAATAATTCAGTGAATATGACAGTTTAGCCAGAATGAATTTGCACATCTTGAGGCTGCAAAATAGGAGATGCATTTTCTTTTATCCACCTTTGCATGTAGTGGCGTAATGACAGAAGTGACATGCGCAGACACAACCACACTCATGACACAGGTGCTCTGATTGTTTCTCTTCCCGTCTACTTCACACTCACACCGCTCTCACTTCTCTACTTTCTCTCTTAAATGTGATTAATAATATGCTCTCATAGTTCCTCCCACATCTGAGTGGGCTCAGGCTTACCTGAGCCAGGCCTAACTAGATTAGGAGCAAAGTCTTCAGATTAGTCTTAAATGAGGTGACTGCGTCTGTCCCCTGGACTGAGAGTGTAAACTGTCCCACAAACGAGGAGCTTGATAACTGAAGGCTCTGGCTCCCATCCTACTATTTAAAACTATTAGAACCACAAGTAACCCAGCATTTAGCGCAGCATGTTACTATAAGCTCCTAAAGATAAGAGGGCACTTGACCAGCAAGTGCCTTTTAGTTGGGGAGAAGTACCTTAAATTCTATAATTGATTTAACAGGGAGCCAGTGCAGAGATGCTAAAACAGGAGTAATATGATCCCTTTTCTTAGTTCTTGTTAGTACACAAGCTGCATCATTCTCTATCACAGTTGATGGCAGAAGTAGGACCCAATCGCAGACTTTACGAACAAAAAATACTTTATTTAGGAACACGACACAGAAGAGTCAATGATTCAACGCAAAGGTGGGTGGTTGGGCCATACAGAGAAATAACCTAAACACAATATGGGGTGGGAGGGAGAGGACGGTCCAGGGGACCACAGTCGAGTGACCGGGAGTTCTCTGGAGGACGGTCTGGAGGACGATCTGGAGGACGGCCTTGAGGATGATCTGGAGGACGATCTGGAGGACGGTCTGGAGGACGATCTGGAGGACGATCTGGAGGACGATCTGGAGGGCGGCCTGGACGAGGGTCTGGGGGACGGCCTGGCGGACGATCTGGAGGATGGTCTGGAGGACGGTCTGGAGGACGATCTGGAGGACGATCTGGAGGGCGGTCTGGAGGACGATCTGGAGGACGGCCTGGAGGATGATCTGGAGGACGATCTGGAGGACGGCCAGGAGGACGATCTGGAGGAGGGTCTGGAGGACGGCCAGGAGGAATCGGCAGTTACGGCGTCAGACGTCGAAGGGCTGGAATCCGGGGTCAGGAGCCGAGAGATGTACCTACAATGTATCTACTTTTCCCTTTTTCTCGTGTAATGAAATCTATTTCATACGTATAACTCTTTAGTAATAATCAATGTTTACAATATTCAAGGAGAGACTAGTTAATCCGAAAATCATTTTGGTGACACCAAACATCTTGAGCCAAATTAGGAGAAGCGGAGGCAGTAAAAGTCTATTCTGGGTCCAAAGTTACAGGTCAGATATGCTGCCGTTTTAAACAACAAGAGTTTGGTGTGAGTATCTTACAACAGCATCCTACATCGGACACACAAGAAGCCTGAAGTGAGCTCTGAGGCAGACTGGCACGCAGACTTCCTGTCTCCTTGTAGCATTGAAGACCGACCGATCATCTTTGAACGATGCTTACAGCAGCCACTCAAGCTCCAGAGGAAACAGTCCTCCAGAGGAAAGTTTCCTCTGGGCCGCGATGGCTTCCCACTACATAGCAACGGAGGTCCCCAATGTAGGGTTTATAGAGCGGGACTGAGTCTTTCCCACAGTCCAAACGCCCACTGTAAGCATCGACTTAGACAAGCCAGGGCTACTACGTGGGTGACCAGCGTCTTCCCAGAATGCAGATCTATACAATTGCTGCAGGACACTCCCCAAACTGCTCAACACAGTGAGCAGCAATCTGCTGACATGAAAGGGTTACACCCGACTGAAATCGCTTGATGAGTTCAAGTTGTTTCAGATGTCTCCAGTTTGGTTACATACAGTATAAGAATATTTCCGTCATTTCAATGAAATGCTGTAGAAACAAAGTTAAAATATGTAACATGTTGACACCTGAAAAGCTTGGAACTTCATCAGCTAATTCGTCGGATGGTAGACCCTCACGTCACCAGAAATACACCATCCCAGGGCCACTACGATGGGTGGGGAGCCCCCCAGGAAGCCTGACCACAGTCAAAGGAAAAAAAAAAAAACAGTGACCAGTGGTTTTGCCGCGGCCGGCCTCAGAGCTTCAGAGCTGTCCAGGTGTCCTCTGCGGAGATGTTGAAGATACTGAGGTTAATTCTTACCGGAGCCTGGCTTTATACACTGGAACACCTCAACATTCTAATGTATTAGAGTCACGGAACACACGTGTACTACAGTTCCATCCAGCATTCTATTCCATCCACAGGGGCAGATAATGTCTCTTTTTATAAATCTATTTGTATATATCTATAAATATATTTACTAGTCCACTGGGTTGCACGGCACAATTTTCAAAAAACTGACCTAATACATTTTGTCTATTGCTTTGCAGACTTCACAGGTTTAAAATATTACCTGTAACAAGTCAACAAAGTTAAAGGTGTTGCAGTAAAAGTTTCTTTTAACATTGTTTTGCCGTCTTTTTGCACATTTACATTCAAATGCTCATATTTTGCATCCCATATACTTTTACTGATGGTACCTCTACATTAGACGTCAGTTGATCAGTATCAGACCGGATTTTTCTACCTGTATTAAAAAGTGTGCATTTTTATTAATTGCAGCTTTGGTTAAAAGTCAAATACGAGACGATTTAAAATGGTTATCGTCTAACTTTCTATGAAGTTTTCTAAACATGCACAATGATTCATAAGGAGCCAAATCTGAGATGTGCGTGTCTTCACTTTAAGCGTGACAGTCAGCAGTTTACGGGTCAGCTTTCACTGATGCACTTGCTGCAGATGTGAGCTGCTGGCAAAGCAACGGTTCGACGATTCCAATCACAGGCCGACACTTAGGATTGATCTGTCCTCAGTATTTCAGTTTCTTATACAAGTGCTGTTACGTATTCACGCTCAAACAGAGTGCAATGTGTCCGTTTCACAGTTCCTCGAGTTCGGCAATTTGACTTAATGTCCCCAAAATGTTTGTACTCTTAGCACTCACCACACAGTCGGCTACTTTTCAGTGAGATAACGACAACAGTGTTGCCGGCCTCTCGTGTCTGCATAAATGGGCCAAAAGTTATCTGGAAGGAACAAGACAACGTATTGGATAAGAATGTACAGTAGCTTTCAAAGTAATGGCACACTTTGTCAACAATACTTTCCCGTCATACCCTTGTTTTCAATGGCTGAAAAAGCTGGTTTTATTTACTGGTTCCATTCTTGCCTAAAGGGGAAAAAAGGAAAAGCAGCAAATGAGACAAAGGAGGGATGGGTTGTAGGGCATGAGCTCAGTGAACTGGCAATAAGCTGCTCACCATGGATAGGTGAATGGCCAGTGCTCAGTAACTTCTCTGTTTTCTCCTCCGCCCATCCCCCCCATCCCTCACCCCATTGGTCTAGTTTCCCTCTCCCCCTTTATCCACAGGCTTGTGCTTGTGGAAAATAAAGAAAAGACATTCAGGACTGTTGCAGGCTGCCTCCTCCGACGCCCAAGCCTCTGATTTCTTCCTGGTCATTGCAAATCAGGATTTTCCGGTAAAACCATAAAAACAAGATCGACATGGCTTACCATAGCTTTAGAAAGTTAAAACTAGTAAAACGGGATGATGTGGACCCCAAAGGAAGAAAGAGCAACACAACTGACACTCTTTGAGGACATATGTTATCTCCACACACCTCAAGTTCTATATTTAAAAAAACTGAAAAAAGGTGTCAAACTGAGAAAAGAGGGCAGAAAACGCAGATGCATAAAATATGTGCTTGCTCAAACGTTTAGTTTAAAAATGATGACTTCAATGTAGTGGCAGCTGGTGGAAAATGTTTCAGGGCAATTAAATTCATTTCAGCAAACAACCCAGGTTAAATTAATGCAAATCAATAAAAGCAGCAAATAACACTTTGACAATTGTATTTTTGTCATCCTAACAGGCAATTCATTATTATATACAACAGGAAAAAAAAGAATCATAGACAAACATCAGGGACATCGGTGGGGAACCAGACTTTCTGGATGTTGTCAAGATGCAAACAACAGTTTTTCTCTGTTCTCCTCCTCCTTCTGTTTCATCAACTTGTCCTGCAGCTTTTTGCTCAGGCAGTAAAATTCCACACACTGGCACACGGTCTTAGTCCTCACCTGCAACATGCACACAGACACGGTGAATACATGGCTCTCAAAAAAACACCTGACAGTGCAAATACATGACAGAATATTTCTGAGAACATAATCAATCTACAATGTACCGTTGTATTAACTAATACACGTTAATCTGACATTTTCTGTCCCATGTGTTGGTATTTGACAGTTGTCAGAACTATCATTAGTGTATTATTAGTGTACCATTTTCTGTATGCGTAAAAAGTCTTTTCCATAAGTTCCTAGAGTTGCAGTGAAGAGACTCTTTTCTCTTTTCAGGGGTTAAGGGAAGGGTTGATCAATGCAGACAAACGTCATTCGGGGAGTAAATGGCTGGGACCCAAGACATCCAGAGCGTTGTTACACCGTCGTCTGAGGGCCAAAGGCCTTCGACGGTACCCCTGTCTACCGGAGTACACCCACCTACAGAGTGAACACTGTGTGCAGAACAATGTCCGCGCTGTACTCTACGTGGTTCTTGAATGCAGCAAAGAAACAAAAAGAGAGAGAGAGAGTGGATTTTGCATGTGACTAAAGTGGCACGAGGCTTGAGCTTCTACAAAGGCGACTATTGCACACAAAGAGCTTTGGTAATGGTTACTCCTGTGCGGACTTCCATTACTTTGAGATTAAAACAACTGTTGGCTGTTGCAGAGACGCTACTCTGCCTTCAATGTAAATAAATTTAAGCTCTACTACTTTTCCTTACTATTACTTAGAAAACCCCAAAGTTAAGTGTAAGGCCAAAGGTGAAAGGTTACCAGAGTAGTGGTAGTCTCCCGTTGGCGAGGGCTGTGAGAACAGCAGCATGTCAAGTGTGGCCTGAGCAGGAGAGAGGGACGGGGGAGGGACAGAACAGACAGGTGAGGCATGCAATGGCTCCGAAGAGAACGAACTGGATATGGATGAGTGAGAAAGAAATGCACGTGGAAAGAAATGACAGGAAGACAGGGCTATGATTCCCTTCTACACACTTTACCATTGTGTTTCCCTGACAGTGGTGCAGACAGTGCATAGTCAGCTCTGAGTTGCTGCCCCCTCCTGGTACGCAGATGGAACTACACATGGACAGCAGCAACTCCACTGCGGACGCGCGCACACAACATCAGCATTTTCATCACCTAGCATAACAGACAATTTTTTTTCAGTTTTGTGTTTTTTATGTTCAGGGGTTTGTCTTCCATCTTGGTCCGAGTATAAACTTCTGTATGATACACTCAATGAAAGGTACACAATATGAGATTCATCTTCTCAGCAACTATCTTAGTGTTGAAGAACAGAGATTCGGTGTAATTAATTCCCCAAAGCTGGTCCGTTTAAAAAATGTCAGTTTGTAAATATATGTTTTTCCGTGACAGTTACCTTGGTCTTGTAAGTGGGTTGTCTCCTCCAGCTTGTCCCACGGTTTCCAAAGCAACGGGGGAGATTTCTCCTCTGGTGACAACACTCTAAACCAGGGGTGCTCAATAGTCGATCGCGATTGACCAGTCGATCTCAAAGGCAGTACCAGTCGATAGCGTGCCATCGATAAAAAAAATGACGTCACGTCACATATGCACGGTCTACCGCGGGAGATGACCGAAACTAATGGTAATGGGGTTTAGCAATTCTTGCTTACTAACGGACGGATTTAATTTCCTTCCAAAGCAACCCAGGCTGACTCCCGTAAGGTAATGACCAAGAATGTGCGCTCGTTGTTTTCTTCATATCGACTCGTTATGACTATTTCCCGGTCGCCCCCCCCCCCCACCCCCCCGCAGTTCTTTGACGCGCTAGCTAGAGGAGGGCAACACATGCGCTTAACAAAAAAATAATAATATGGGGAACGGTATTCATTTGAACCCCCCCCAATGTCTAAACCATGGTCACGCCCTTGGGGAGGAAGGTAGCATACCAGCAAGCAGAGCTGCCAACTTTTCAAAAAACCTTGGAGTGAGATTTTGTCGGGGGTGACCAAAATTTTGCCGCGCACGCAGCCACACACGTTGGTGGCTCAAATATCAGGAAATTGGAATTCATTTGGCGTAGTACCCATGTTGTACACTGCATTCTGGTGGTTTGTGGGGCCCAAAGTCGTTGATAGGGGCGGCCTACTGGAGATGGACAACATTGGTTACATTCTGTGAAGCAAAGACATAGCTGATGGTCCACCCCCAGGACATTTTGGTTTAAGTAGATGTTATTTCATGCATTCTCGTGGATTTTTGGGTGGTATGCCTGAACTTATTCTGATTTATGTTCATCTGCTCATGACTTGTTGGGCCTTCTAGACTTGAGCTGAACATTCAACCAGAAAACTATTGCTGTGCCTCAATGACTGTCTATGTACCACAATATAGCCTAATTAATAGACCTGTGTTTAAGATTAGACCAATTTAGGTTGATTGACATTTTGATTACAATGGTATTCAACTAATTCTTAACTGAAACCTAACCTATATTGTTAATAATTGTATTCTTAAGAGCACTTAATGATTTATGTTCAGCAAAAAATGACACAAGTTTAGTTAGGGAAAAATATTTTTCATTATCAAACAAAAAAGTGCAACAAATAAAGTGCTTAAAGTGCTTAAACAGTAGCCTTTCAAAGCAAAACAATGGATACACATAATATAAATACACATAAATAAAATAACAAAAAATGAGGTATTAAGAAGGAGATCAGAAGCTGGTTAGTAATTTGTGTTTTGAGCATGCAGTATACCAAGAGGTTAACAAGGTGCTCTCCTGCTGCTTGTTATGACAGCTGAGTTTACATTCACCACTCAAAATCACACGCACAAACACAACAAATAATTTCTTTCAAGATTTAAAGTTTAAGAGAGTGAGTACTTAATTGAACCACATGTCATTAACATACCTTAGTCTTTGCTCCTCCTGAGTTTCTCCCGCGGTTGTGTCTGTTTGAAAATCTTCTTCTGTTGCTAACTTCGGGACTCTTTGGGGTAAATAGGATGTCTATGCAGCGAATGGGTTTACAGATGCGCTCCTTAGCGCCATCTATTGTCGGGGAGTTTGAAAAGGAACGAACGCGCTTCGGCCCAAAATCAGATTTTTTTTTTTGCCGTGAGAAATTGGTTGTGTGGCGTGAGTGCGTGTGAAAACATGCAAAAGCGTGTGTCACACGGCGAAACCGTGAGAGTTGGTAGGCCTGCAGCAAGGTGGAAGGAGGCGCTGATTGTCCCTTTAAGGAAGCCGGGGAAAGATGGCCAGCAAATTGGCCTTTCTTTTGCTCTTGTCACTTTGAGTGCAAGTAGAACTACAATGCGGAACTTTTATGTGATGGCTGTGGTCTGTGACGACAATACGATGCATTTCAGTGGCTGCTGTTGTGGTCTAATTGTGAGGTTGCATTGCAAAGCTGCGACATCGTGAAAATGCATATACAGTCCTCAAAGCAGAGCCCCATCCTCATAAACAATGATTAGCTGTCTGGGATGGGCTTATTCTATTTTGCTAAACAAGGAAATTTCTTCACCATAAATAATAAATGCTAATAAAACAAGACACCCTAGCGAGCGGCAAGCCCGGAACAATCTTTCCTATAGATCGCTTAACATAACACAAATAATTATTCTGGTGTCATAATACTTGGACAATAATATTTAAGGCTCCACACGAAAGGACCCTTCTCATTTAGAACGAATCACCGAAGTGTATCCTTCCGCCGCGCGGCAGCCGGAACCTCATCACTGATGCCGACGCGCGCGTAAGTACCTTAATTGGCCGGCGCGCGGCCAGGTGTGCGATTAACGAAGCGGCCCCGCAGAGAGCAGCTCGCGACGCTGCGGTGAACCTTGAACCTTCGACGAAGACCCGGACAGCAAGATGCCGACCAAGCGGACGAGGAACGCGGGAAAAGCCAATCTCAAGGAGCTGCTGGGCCGGGAGATGCGACACAGCCGGCTGGCGCTCTTCATTCAGCAGTTCGAAAAAGAAGGTTTGGCAGACGCTGCGGGTCAAATGGCGGGTGTCACGTGGTCTAGTCGGCCCCAGACGTGGTCCTAAACGTGACGACCTTTCCCTGCCCCCCCTCACAGCACAGGAGCGAATGAACGAGCTGGACGGCCGAATGGAGAACATGTTGGCCACCGTGGACAAGGTCTTCAAGGTGGAATTGATGAAGATGCCTCCTTCCCTTCAAAAAACGCACATAGCGGATCTGATAAGCGGTGAGCCGTCTCCAATAAAGCTATTTTTCCAAGGTCATTGCTCACGTGTTTATTTAATCACCCTTTTATCTCCTGCTAGAGGAGGAAATCTCCGCAAGTGAGGTGTCGATTGCCTTGAAGGTGAGCGGAGTCCTTGAAGTTGTGCCCGCTGCGATGCACACGTGTTAATAAAATCATGTATGCGATTATTGACCTGATGCAGAACGAGTCCCTCGAGATGCAGCAGCCCCTCAGGAGGACGCACAGTAGAAGTAAAGCGCCTTCCTTCAAACCCCAGTTGTAGTAACACATTATCTTGACTGTGAAAAGCAGAGTTTATTATCCTCACCTACTTTTTATTTATATGATATATATTTAGTAAAATCGACCGATTCATCCCCGGGTCAGTCCAGCCCAGTCCAGAGGTCCTCATCCAAGGCCTCTAAGGTACGTCCTAAAGCTGCTCGTGTGTGCACTCATCGGGGAGACGGACTGGTTTCAACTTGCGCTTAGACTGACGCAACTTGTGGACTAATCCATATCTTGCATAATAATCACTTGTGACATAGTTTCTTTTTTTCCATGTTTATAGGGAGGAAAGGGGACAAAAAGGACTAGGACATTGGTCAACAGTAACAGCACTGGAAGTCTTAGGTAAACATTGGAGACAAAAGGGTCTTGTGTGGTAAATGAGTGTGGAGTTTTAAGATGGCGCTTTGTTTCCTACAGAAACGCCTCGGCAACGACCAAAAGAACTCAAAGCTGCCTGACCAAGACCAATGACCAGACCACGAAGGCCAAGTCCAAACTGAGGTCTCTTGCTGCCTTGGCTGGAGCAGAACACGCTGCGGAAATGCATGCAGTATGCGTGAAGATGATTTTTAAAAGAATTGTAGAAATACTTCTAACTCGATAGATTTGACGTTCACAGGTCTGTCGTCTCTGCTGGTGATCTGCACTGTCCCTTGGCAGGCTCTGCTGCACACATCTCTGTTACCACAGCACAAGGACAGGTACTTGTGTTTTATATTTGGGGAATATTCACGTCTGCCTCTACTGCTTATATTCCTAAATGTTGAAATATGTCGGGATTATTATCGGATTTCCCCCAAACGGGTGTGTTTGTGTTCTGCTGGTTCTTCCCAGACTGTGTGCTTCTCTGAAGAAACAAAGGACGAAATCGACTTGGACGTGCTGGATGACGTGGCATGGTGCCAGATTCAGAAGCTCACAGTAATGCACATTCCTTTAAAAGAAAAAAGGGATCCAAGTGTGTATATATGTGTAATACATAGGTGAACATTCAAAATGTACCGCTGCTTTCTTTTTTCAGAGTTTGATGGACTATCTGTCTAGGCGAAGATGACTAAGGATCCACTGTGGACATGCTTTGCTCCAATTTCAATGAATTTAAAGCATTTGTTTTTATATTTTTTAATCCTATAATAAAGCTTATTTGACTAATGTGTATAAAGTCTGTAAAATAAAGCGCTTTTCACAAGTTTAAAAGTATTTTATTCAATTAGTTTATGTAGAAAGTTTCTGACTAAAGGTCTCAATAAATTGGCTTACATACAAAACTGCATTTTTTTTTTTTTTTAGAATTAAAACTAAAATAGTGCCGTGTTTGACATGGCACCACTGCAACGTCAAATATTAGCCCACAAGGAGGAATACATTTAAAACTCCCAACGTGGGTCACTGGTGCTGGTGGGAATGAAGCGTCTCCATCTCCACCTCGCTGGGCTCCTCTCGATGCGACTGGCCGGAGGACAGGGCCGGCGCCCGAGTCCGCTCCGCGTCCATCCGGGGGTAGAAGGGACCAACCAGCCAGTTAAGCGGCGTGTTGTTGACCAAGTAGTCCATGACGTTGTCCAGGGAGTCTTTCATTCGGCCCAGCTGGACTCTGCTGGCGCTCAGCACGCTGTCCGGCAGATCGCCCAGTGAGCTGGCCTTGCTGAAGCTGACGTAGACCTGTGTGGCGGAGCGGCCGAGCTGGAGCGCCTCCTGCTGGACGTGGTTGGGGAGGCCCTGCAGCCTGGAGACCAGGACCAGACAGGTGGTCTGGAGCTGTTGGGTGAGGGATTGTGCCAGGGTCAAGGTGCGGTGCTCAATAACCTGAGAGGTGGGGGAAGGAACGACATGAATAGCGTATCGATCGGTGCTTTCATTTGACGTGTTCTTGATCTTAGTTTTCGTTCACTTTCTTACCTCTGCCCCGTGACCATTCTGCTGGTCCGGACCGTTGGGCCTCCACGCCGCGAGGGCGGTCAGCTTGTTATTCACCATCTGGTTAGCCCCGTCAATATTCTTTCTGCCATATTCAATCTAGAAAAACAAATGTTTTTATTTTCTGTACATAAGCATTTAAAGAAAGATAATTCAAATTATTCTGCTTCCTTGTGTTTGTAGTGCTGTATGCTTTTAGTTCCTCCCCATATCATGGTAAGAACACACATCAAGCAGATTTCTTATCGTAAAAAGTTTGTCTCCAAGATTATATTTCATCGATATATAGTAAGGAGACCCACCAGGTCAACAGCGGAGTTCAGCTCAGAAATGAAATCCACGCTGCGCTGCTTGCCGTCCCTGACCTTCGCCAAGGCCCTGGTGTACGCACGCTTCCGCAGCTTAGTGGAGAGGGAACCCAGGCGGACGTAGTAGCTCGGCTCCTTTTCCTCAGAGCTTTTCACAGCTTCAGCCTCCAGCTCTGTCGCAAGGGAGGGAAACATGAGAAATTATTTTAAATGTTTTATGCAGCCATCGGCTTTTCTTATGAAAAAAGGTGAACATTTGTAGGAAAAGGCAAAAGCATAACTTTTTAGTGTTTTTCCGTTTAATGATTAATTCGAGCCTGTAGCACATGGCTGCTGGGTTTTGTTAAACGTGTCTGCAGTCTTTTAAATCCATGACAAATGGAACGATTCACCAGTCAATCCTTTTGATACGAAAACAAAAGCTCCTTTTAGACAGAAGAATAAAAACTGTTTTCATGCATGTCCCGTTTTCCTTGAAAATGAACTCAATCCCTCCTTAACAATGTGCTCCAGCTCCTCTCAACAACTGACCTTTGATTCAGCGTGTTACACAAACTTCCAATGATGTAAGAAAAAATCATTGATTGTGTTTCACCACACCAGTAAAATAGTCATGCGACGAATGGTATCTGTGCGTTGCACAAGACGGATGTCTCACCCGGCTCGCCCTCCGTCAGGGGCAGGTACTGCTCCACCAGGCTCTCCGAGGTGCTGAGGGCCGTGTCCACGGAGCTGCTCACCAGCCGCGCCACCCTGCTCTCCAGCACCGTGCTGACCGCGGCCCTGGTCTTGTCCACGACGTTGGTCAGAGTGTCTGACACCGTGTCCCTGGCGCCAGACACCGTGCCCGTCACAGCGCCCTTGGCACTGGAGACAATCTGGGGAGGGAGGGGAGTGGAGGGGCGAAACGGCAAAAAAAAAAAAAAACGGCATGAGGGCACAACGGAGCTTGCGGAGATATGATCCGGTCGTAGCAGGTTGTGCAATTTAGCTTGATTGAAACGGCGCCGACCTTTGACCCCATGTAACTGCGCATGTTATTGATGATGAATCCGGCCACATACCTGCTCAGACGGCTGGTTAAGGATCGGCAAGGTTTTCTCAATCCTGTCCAAACCTTTGCAGGCCAGGTTGTTGGCAATGGAAACTGAAATCAAACAAAAAAAAGAAGAAATCAGGGAAAATGTAGCTGTAATATGGAGAGCTCTGAATAAATAAATAAATGCTCCTTAGGGCGAAGGATGTGTGGATGATAACATTTTTCTATGATTTGGATTACAAATGTGGATTGGATTGGATTACAAATTGGGTGAAAGTTCACGATGAGTAAACTCCAGCAGTCTGACCCGAACTTCCTGTTTTGGTGCTCAGTGTCACAGTTTCTCTTTTGACATCCGATACACTTTGAAGGGACGTCCACAAGGGCCATTCGTCATCTACCCCCCCCACCCAACTGAAGGGTCCTCACTCTGAAGCTCCAGCTTGCCGATGATGGGTGAAGCGGTGATGACGGCCACGGAGGTGATGGTCCGGACTCCCTGCTCGGCCGCCTCGCACACACTCCTGATGTACGGGTGGGTGTCCTTGGTGGTGGAGTAGGCGCTGGACACCAGGCCGTAGGTGGAGCTCACCAGGGGGAGGCTGGTCACCCGCTCCACCACATTCTGTGAGGGAATAACGCAGATGAGCAGGGATATATACGCGCTGCTCTCGCTTTCTGTATCCGTGAGAGCAATAATAGAGAAACTTTAAAAGTGTAATAAATGGTCTATGACCATAAGTGAAAATCTATTCTCTTATTCCTGACATTTCTCATTCACAGCGTCTCATTCCTCTCAACAAAATCCAACAAATATTACCAGTTGACTTTCCTTTATTGGATGGAGTCTTTATCCAAGCTCACCTGATTTGTTATAACTGCTGCTGCCATTTCTGCTGAAAAACGAAAAACCTGTTGAGAATAAGACACAACATTAACGTCTCCACTCAATACACCCACACACGGTCTATTACGTAGTACAGTAGTTATCAGTGAATAATAACGGGTCTTGTTAAGTTAAGTAGCGACAGAAACCGCTACGACAACGTTTACAAAGTAACTTTAGAAAGAGGAGTAAAAACTCACCGAAGAGGACGAAGCGCTTCCAGACTGTAAGCGAGCGGAGTGACGTTGCGTCGCCACCGCGGCTCTATTTATCTCGCGTCATTCTCGCGAGACTACCGCTTCTGGGCCAAAGGTAAAACGGATAAAAGTTCAGACGGGGAATTCCCGTCGGCCCACCAGTCACGTGCACGAGCTATGACACACGATGACGGTCTGATTTCATACCGTTTCACAAGGCAGGTTTTGGGGGGGAGAGGAGGGGGGCAATGGGGGATTATTGTTGCTATATTTGCCTGTCTGGTCAAGCTGGCCTTGGGACAGTATTTGACAAACTGCCACAGTAACCAGGGTCATCATGGATTTAAAAAAAACAAAACATTGGAGAATAGATGATGATGGACACTCGTAGATCGGATTGATATAATTTTTAGAAAGTTAAAGTAAAAAAAGTTAAGAAGAAGTGAGTCTTGGATCACACCCTCCAGTTGGCTGACACATGGGATTTTTTAGATGAACCCGTTGGGGCACATTTCTCAAATAGACCCCATATGACAATGTTGGCCGCAGTAAAACAAAACGCTGTATATGTTAATAAAATTCTGTCTGTAGGAGAGCTAGTTGGCATTTATGGTATGATACCGGATCACCTGGCTGACCTTTGCTTGCCAACACATCACATAAAGCCTGATCAAAGATTATGACGTTGACAATAAGGTATGAGCAGATCAATGTCCATTACTACGTGGTGTTGTGTGTGTCTGTGTGTGTGTGTGTGTGTGTGTGTGCGTGTGTGTTTGTGTGTGTGTGAAGAAAGGCCTATATTCTGTGAATAATGACTCATTTGGATTACATATTGAACTCATAATTCTCCTGGATTTTCCACAGTATATAATTGGCCCATGACACAGCTTTTCTTTAATAGGAAACCTTTTAAATAAATGAATGGGCTTAAAGAATTATAGTAGGGTCGTCATTTGAAATAGTCTGAATTATTGTGTTTAACTGTCAAGTTTAAGTGTTTGAAATCAACAGATTGTGACATTTTTAACGTTCAAAGTGACATATTTTTTTTAACAGCACAGTTAAATGACACCAATACAGTTTATTTAAGTAGCATGTGCTAAGTGACATAGTCAGGGTCATTTTGGTCCAGTGTTCTAACTTGGAAATCACCCAAGAGTCTTGTAGTCTGTCAGTTAAAGTGAAATAGTAAAACTAAATATTGGAATTCATTATTTTTTTGTGTTTTAATTCAGTTTGTATTTGTGGGACCATAATGACATAATGAAAATACAAACATGCTGATACACCTTTTAAATTTGAACAAAAACCGAAACATATTCAAATATAAGGCCACCTGTTTAACAACTTTCTTTGCCTATAGCTGATGTGATTAGCATCCTTCTTAGTATTTGCAGATGTAGGCCACTAGATGGCAGCAAAGAAGACAGATTCTATGTCCTATCTTCCAAAGGATGTTCAAGCCACACCGTGTTCTAACTTATTTATTTGCCTACTATTAACATTGACCGGCATGCAAATATTAAGAAACGAAATAAAGAACAGATGCAATTATAAACAAAGAAATGCTTGGTAAAACATGATATAATCAATAACAATTAGGAATGCACTGGTTTAATTGAAGTAATACGATTACTTTACTTTTTAACTTTAATTAAATAACGACATACCCCTATTTTGCCTATATTAAATTACATCATGAGACACAAGGTGCACACACCATCTACAATGAGATTACAGATATAAAAAATCAGGTAAAACAGCTACTCCACTCTTTATAGATAAACTCAACTACAGGCGGTAATGATGTGAGCCAGGTCATGACTGCTTTTCTCATTCTACATAGAGTCCAGATTTCACATCTGAGGTCCGCTGGGGTCCGTGAAGGGGGCTGGTGGCAGCAGGGGGTTTCCGGGTCTGGCAGAATTAGACAGGAGATCCTCACACAGCATCCCTCTATTGTGCCCCTCAAGACAGGTACGACTGTTAGCGGCGTGCCGATCCCCCCCTAGCTGGGTAACGGATACCTGTGGGCTCCTGGGAAAGTTACACACCTCCGGATCAAACCCAGTCAGAGGCGCCATGTGCATGAAGAGGACAGATCGAAAGAGAAAGACAGTGGGAGAGTGGCTGTCCTTTCATGGTCTTCAGGTGGAAGAGAGGGGAAACCAAGGGACAGGTCTTAAATCTACCTTCAAACAGACAGCGTACCTGAGAAACAATTGCTAGTCTGCTGGACCGTCCATCAAACCTGTAACACGTCCCTGTGGATTCATTGGATGCAATGGGAATATAAGTACAGATATAAGTACAGATATACCACACATACTGTAGCTGAGAGCTCTCTAGAACACCAACTTGTGGGCAGATTTAGGAAATTTAAAGTACTTATTTTCCATTATAGCGATTAAGGGCCTCAGCTAACAATGCGTGTAGGGGCAAACAGTAGAAACATTTTGGGGTTATCCAAATAAACTAAACATACTACTTCAAAATGACTATAATCAAAATATTTAATGTATTTGTTTGTTTCCTTTATCCCAAAACAGTTACACAAATATAACATATTATAAGTAGTCAAATTATTTTAAATGAGTCCTGTGTTTTGCAAAAAAGTAAATTTTAAATCATAGTCACTGATATTTTTGTATATAGACAGTCCTGATAGCAACTGTTTGCTGAAATTATCTTTTTATCTCCACATGTTTTGAGTTATGTTGAGTAATGGCAGACTTATGGCTGCAATATAGACAAAGATACCGAACCAGAGAACCAAGTCTTGTTAAGCAGGGATCTGTGCACCTGTCGGATGTAATCCTCAGATAATGACTCCGGCTCATTAGCCAAGACATCCAAGTTAATTGTCTACATTTCCCACTGCGAGGATCAAGATATAAAAAGGGTCGACAACAACACAAGGTCAAAGGGGTCGGCGTGTGGTCAAAGATGAGATTTGCTGTGGGACACCCTGACCCACTCATTTTTCAGTAATGATTTTCACAGGAAGAACAAAAAGTTTGTCCATGGAAGGCAATGTGTCGCGTGGTTCTCACACCGTCCCACATGACCCCGTTATGTTACCCCAATGTCCCGCCAAAGGCGATTTCCACAGAGCCCTGTTGGGATGAGCAGGATCATTGGTACTGTAGTGCTGCGCATGGGCCTGCTGTGCTGCATTTGTCTTGTCAAAGTGGTCCGCAGTCGGATCATGTGATCTGATTGGAAGGCCGCGGTCAAGCCGGCCGACCAATCATAGCGCGTAACGGTTTACGGTCGCTGGTGACGTATTCCGACACCAATGCTCATTCCTCCAGTCAGTCAGTGGTTCACACGCTCTTTAGATCCCATTTATGGACCAGCTTTGATGAGAAAAGGAGACACACACTGAGTAGCAGAGGGCTATTGCACGAAACCAGGATAAGGGATTAGCCTTAAAAAGCCTTAAAAAAAATATGTGTGTGAGCACACATATTTGTTGCACTGTTTTGTTTGATGGAACGTGTGGTGGGAGGCTTTGATTAATGAAAAATATTTCTCCCAAACTAATATTGTATCATTTTTTGCTGAACATAAATCATTAAGTGCTCTCAAGAATTATTAACAATATAGGTGAGGCTTCAGTTGAATACCATTGTAATCAAAATGTCAATCAACCTATGGGTCAAATCTCAAATGAAGGTCTATTAATGAGGCTTTATTGGGGCACATTGAGGCACAACATTAGTTTTCCGATTGAATGTTCAGCTGATGTCTACAAGTCATGATCAGATGACCATAAATCAGAATAAGTCATCTTTAGCATACCACCCAAAAATCCACTAGAATGCAGGAAATAATATCTACTTAAACCAAAATGTCCTGGGGGTGGACCTTCAGCTATGTCTTTGCATCTCAGAATGTTGTCGCCCTCTCAACGACTTGGGGCCCCACAAACCACCAGATTGCCGGGCACAACATGGGCACAACGCCAAAATAGTTCCAATCCCCTGATATTTGAGCCACCATTGGTGGCAGCCACACACGTTGGTCACCCCCGACAAAATCTCACTCCAACAAAAAAGAAATACAGAGTAATGATTCCTTGCGATCCAAAGAAAAGAGAAATTCATTTGGTTTAGATTATTTATTTATTTATTTTTATTATTCATAACCATGCGATGTAGTTCCTTAAGTCCTCCTTCCTGTCAGAGAGAGAGAGCAATGTAGAAATCTGGATGACAAATGTGTATGTATTCACGTGTGTGTGTGTATATCTATATGTTAGTGGGTATGTAAATGTGTCTCCCTAACCCTCCAAAAAAGAACACTGGCTCAATAATGGAAAAATTTCCCACCAACTCTGCGGAATAATAGTTATAGACGGATACTGTGGTCTCAGGTTTTAACAAATAAGTCAAAGAAATTGACTTATTGAAAGAAATATGAAAGACAGATAGTTAAAATCTTGATGGAAAACCAAAGCATCTGCATACATATCACAATAAGGGAGACAGAGTTGAAGTTCATTTAGATAAATACACCAAGACCCCAGCTTATAAAGACCAGAGCCCATCTCCCCCCACAGTCTGAACCCCGTGTTCAGTGAGCTGCTGATGGGAAGCATCTCCAGCAGCTGTTTCACACGACCAGCTAACCAGTGACTGCTGAGGTGGACGCTGAATCCCCTCAGAGTTCCGTCGTTTCTCGAGTCTTGATGGTGGGCTCCTCCTCGAGGTCCTCGGTGACCAGCCTCCTCTTACTGCTCGGTCCTCCCTCAGCAGCGGCAACCTTCTTCTTGTAGCCTCTCTTGCCAACGACCTCCACAGAGATGTTGCAGCTTCCTACAGATGAGCAAAAAAACACAGCATGGTCAGTTTGTTGACAGTCACGACACCAACGTGGACAAAAACCCCTCAAACCAACAAAACGGTGTCTTCACATGATCAGCTTACCAGCGACTGCTGAGGTGAAGAGGGGTGCTAAGATGATAAGACTTCATCCAACCTTTCGTAGCTTTCATCTACAGATGAGAAAAACAGAAAGGAACATTCATTTTGTAGTAAACTAAAGTCACCAACTGCAT